GCAAGTTTAACAGAACAGGTACAGTGAGAACTTCTGTGAGGGCCTGGAGCAGACTCGGGCACATTTGTGCGTATGTCATAGCCTGTAAAGGCTACTCAAACCAGGAGGAACTTCTCTCCTACACAGCAGGGGAGAAGGACAAGGAGATGAGGTCCCATGCAAGTCAGTGCACAACCAGAGCTGAGGCGGGACAGGAAAAGAATAAAAAAAAAAAAAAGAGTGAGCTGCCACCTGGCAAAGGCCACCACCCCAGGGCAGAGATGCTCATGATGGGCTTCTCCAGCAGCACATCCCTCACGAAGCTCCAGCTGAGGAGCAGGACGTCACAGCTGCAAGAGCTGCTGGACAGAGCCTGCCACAGCCCTCTCCCCTCCAGCAGGATTGGAGCCAGCCACGGTGCTCAGGCTTGCAGCAGCTCTCAGCCTAGAGGCAGCCTTCATGCCAGCACTAGGTCCTTCTGCCTTCTCCACACATTTCCACAAACTACTGTGCACAGTCCCCATGGGCTGGCTGTACCTGCCCTAGCACCTAATAAACCTGTCAACAAGCAGTTTAAAGCAATAACAGCATAAACTAGGCCTGCCCACACAGTGGACATCTCCTTAGACACTGGCTTTCTGCTGCACCATGGTGTGTTAAGCACCTGGGATGAGACCTGCTACAGAGCACTCCCATTTATAGGTCGTAAGTATTATTTGCTGTGACCTCTGAAGTATTTTGAATTCACTCTTATATTGTACTGTGGTTTGTGATGTTTCCTTGCAAAACAAATAGGTTTTTAAAAGTAGAGGGACCTCAGCCCCTTTCCAGGGCCTTGCGTGTGCTGGTCGCTGATGCAGACTCTGCAGACTCGCAGCACCCTGCAGGGTCGAGGCCACAGATGGACTCCCATCAGCTAGCTCCTTTACAGCAAGCCTGGAGAACCCAAAATAGCCCTCCCCAAAGCACAGCACGCTATATATACACGTGCACACAAGTGGCTCATTCCTTTGAAGCTGGCAGCATGGAGAGACAAGCTGTCTGTCCTGCAGCTGGTCTAGAAGCCCAAATCACCAGGGCAAGGGCAGGAGGAAAGCCACATTTCTGCCCTGGTAATTCTGGCTCCTGCACAGCTGTCACCAGCTGCCTCACCCTGACCATAACCTCCATTCTCCCCAGCTCGCCACAGCTGCCAGTGCAGCAGCAAGAGGCTCTCCAGAAGCCCTGCATTGCAAAGGAGCTCACCAGGCCTATATTTAGCAGCCTGAAGGAGCAGAGGGTTTACACCAGGTCAGCAGCAACCACAGCGCTCTCCACACAGCCCTAAACCCAAGGGCTGCACCTCCAAACCAGGGAGTAAGACAACACTGGGATTCAAATGCTATCAAACCTGTACTCCGTCCTTCTCCAAAGCCTGCGTGTGCACAGATATACATTGCACACACAGAGCTCTAATGAAAGCCAACAAGGATCTGCAGGCCACCACATCCATTAAACTCATCTACACTACTGCAATTTCAGTCTCTACAGGCCTAACTTTAGGCAGCTCTGGCAACACTCAGGCTCCCGAGTTTAGTCTCTAATGCTAAGACCACTTTCCTAAAGCACTTTAGTGCAAGCAATACAATTCTGCCATGCATTCACATTGCCCAGCAGTGAGAAAGGAAAACCCGCTTGTGCTTTAAGACGGGCCCAGTGCAAGAGGCAACACGGACAGCAGCACTCACAGTGCAATCCAGGCAGCTGAAACACGCGGGGATTTGAGGTGGTTCTGCGTCACACCAGCCAAATTCAGCAGTGAGTCAGTGCCATCGGCCCCCAGGAGAAACAGCACTGGGATCCAAGTGGAGAACGAGGGCCAGGAGGTGCCCGTGCGGCACTGCAGGGTTGCCGAGACCGCAGCCGTACTCTTGGAACATAAGATTAAAAGGAGATGACACAGGAAAGCATTCCAGGTGAAAACTCACATTAGTCCATGTTTTCATGAGAACTCAAGGCAATGCCTTTATCACTGTGCCCTGTTGCGTTTTCAACCCACAGGCTCTTTGAAAATGTTCCCAGCGAGGGGTGATTCACCATGCTCATGTCAATGAGCTACGGCTTCCTCACAGCAAATGCGTAGAATGAGCCTCCAGGAGCTCCCAAATTGCTCCAGAAAGGTCAGGCTTCTTGTCCCTCTTCCTACACTGAGAAACAGCAAGGGAGAAGTGACCTGTGCAAAGTCACTAGTTCTTCCAGGGGCAGAGCCAGGAATACAAGATTGGAATTCTTGTGTTTACTCTCCAGAAGTTTTATTTTGACCTGTTCTTCTATTCCTATTGAATACTGAATGCCCTATTGAAATGTCTCAGCCAAAATGGAAGAGAAAGGCCAGAAGTAGAGCCAAAGACTGAAAATAGAGAACATTCACAGCAGTTTCCAAGTTGCAGGCCATGCTGGGCTAGACTGAGCTCTACCTACACTACAAAGCCTCGTGGTGCAAATGGAAGCAGCCTGAAATGAAACGCAGCTCCTAACCTCAAGAAAAGACCAGTGTTTAACAGCAAAGTCTGTTTTAGGTAAGAAACTCAAGCCCACCTGGCTGCACAGACATGGTGCAGCGAGGTGCATCGTTAACAGAGATACTCTATGTCTCATTACTCTGACAGCATCTGGAGAAGAGAGCTCTCCAGACTGGTTGTGGGCTGCTCCATGTTACCAAGAGGCTGCGGATCAGAAGGAGATGCTAAGCCAGACCTCAGCTCATCTTCCCGCCCAGAAGCGAGCTGCAGGAGCAGAGGCTCCCGTGGTCTTCAACTGTAGATGAGCTGTGCCCTCTAGTGGGGCCTGGCTCACCAGGAGCTGCAGAAGAACCTGGTGGGGAGGCCGATGTCCCAGTCCACGCGAGGGGCTCACACCTGCGTCCCATGAGAGCTCATGGACAACATGGACCCCAGCCAACCCCCCAGCACCTTGTGTGGGTGCCTCACACGAGTTCTTCTTACACAAGCAGGACAACATCGGCATAAAGCACTCAGCACTAAATATCTGCCTGGAGACATAAGGCTAATATGAAGAAGCCTGTTCTGCCCACACCAGGAAAGCCCCTTCCCACCATTCTTTCACCCTTCTCTGACTGTGTTGAGAAAGCCACCCCAGCTGCAGACAATTCCCATTTTCAGAGGGTTGGTGGGACTCTCCAAGGGATCCCCAACTCCTCTCCTAGCTTCTGCACCAAGCCCATGGGAAAGACTCGGGAAGGCAACGCTCTCCCTCTGGCAAAGCAGCTGCGTGCAGAGGAACATCTGCTCTGCTAGCTCTGGGCCCTGGCCCACCACAAGCACAGAGGCCAGGACTGAAAGCCCCTTCAGCAACATCTCCCCATTCACCAGTGGTGGGATCCGAGCTCTCACCTGCCTCGCAGACCGGATTTGCCCCCACAGATCCAGGGAGCCGGTGCCGAGTGGTGGGGAGACCGTTCCCCTAAGGCACCCACGACGCTCTGGCGCCTGCGGCCGGAGCTTCAGTGTAGAAATGGGAAGCAGGGGAGCTCCAGCGAGTCACACCATGCAGGTCACAAGACACACTCCCCATTTCACAACTGGAAACAATCTGGATTATCTTTTTAAAGCTTGTGTTCAGGCCTCCTGCTTCTGACCCCACTCAGTAACCATTAGAACCAGTATTTTTGGTAAAGTATTTCCCTTTACTATTTCAAGTTGGTGCTTGAAGACGCAAATAAATAGGAAACTAGCAATAAAAATAAGAGTTACTTTCACTTACCTGCAGACCTGCCTGCTTGTTCTCACCGTAGACCTGTTATCCCATTGCATTAACATGCTGTGCTTTTTCTGTATGAAGACAGAAGACCCCGGCTACACATATAAGCCTCTAACAACAGGCTTCAACCAAGCAGCTAGACCCAGCTGTCTGCAGCAACTCAATATTACTTTAATTAAAAGGCAGCAATGGCCCAAGTGCTTCATTATCCCTCTTTGCTTCTGCACCCCCCCGGCCCCCAGATCTCTGTAGTGGGACGTGATTGCACCTGCTAAAGCAGCAGCTCGGGGGGAAAAGGGCAATGCCACCACGGCAGGTGCCGAGGAGGCTCCGAGCAGAGCCGGGCAGCCTCCCGGGCCTCGCCTGCCTCCGCAGGCGGGTTTAAGGTTCACTGACTCCCGGCTCTGCCTCAACTTTGGCCCCGGGACAGGGCTGCGGGCAGGGTGCCCGCGCCTGCTCCGCTTTCCCTTTCATTTACCTCCCAGGAGGAAGTGCCACAGTGCAGGGAGCCGGCGCTGCCGGCCGGGACTGCTCCGTCACTGCCGGTGGGAACCTCCGGAGGCTTCGGAAAGGTAAGCGTGGGCCTTGCCCGAGGGGAGAGGTGCTGGGGTTTAGATCTTCCTGCTTGAAAGCAGCCTCAGATCCTGAGGCTCCGGGGCAGCGCTGGGCAAGGGGGTCAGCGGGGCTTCCCACAGGGTCCGGCTGGTACCGCGTGGCCAGCCACAGCTCAGCAAGTGTTCGGCCAGCCGCCCGAGGGGGAAAATCCCAGATTATCCATTACCTTTTACTGCCCAAGCGCTGACACCGGCATCCTCACGGCCAGCCTGCAAGTGCCAGCACAGAGGTCTCCCCAAGAAGTCCTGCCAGCGCTGTCCCAGGTCAGTGCTGCCTTGTCACCACCGCTCGCTCCGCTTGGCTCCTCAGTGACCCAAATTCTCTCCCCCTTAGCTTTGCGGGGAGCAGATTGTGTTGTGCAATCAGCACTACACAAATCCAGCAGCATTTGTGCATTAAAGTGCCTTTGCTGTTCTGGTTTCTCTATCCCCTGGTAACCTCCGCTGAAGCAAGCCCTCAAAGCAGCCACTTGCATACAATAACACTGCCGAGAGCCTGCACAGGTGAGGAGACTTGCAAAAACAGATGACTGCCTTTGAGCTTAATTCCAACAAATAAGGTAACTGGGGAGTTTGATGTGTGACTGCCACCTGGGGAGAAAAAAAACACATACAAAACCATCTAGGAAATCCAGAAGACCCTAAAAACTCTTCCAAATCTTTCAGGGTTGGACACTGCCAGCTTCAGAGACACTCACACAGGTAAGAAGGTTCTGCTTTTCTCAATGAGCTGGGCTGGTTATTTACTGCTGTGCCCTGCCACCCATTGAGATGTGTTAAATGGCTTCAGGATCTGAGTGCTTCTGGCTTAGAAAGGCTTAGGTATCACTACCGCAGGAAAACAAATGAAATTTTAAATACCACTTCTCAACAGCTTCATCACAACCAACCAGTATCTTTTTTTATATTAATGTCCTCTGGAAATAAAGGTCCTTTACTCCTTCTGGTAGTAAGCCTGCCAGGATCTCCCCCCACATCCCTCACCAAGGTTAACAACAGTGCAGAGATTACTTTATTGAGTAGTAAAAGACAAATCCTTGCTGTTATGTTCCAGCCACCTCACATCTGCCTTTTTTTATTGCTAGTGGTTATGCCTGTAAAACAGCAGTTTGGAAGGATGCTCCTCAAATAAAAGTCCTCTTTTCCCTGCTAATTGCAAACAACTGAGTCACACCGATCAACAGCTTGGTCAGGCTCCAGCCTGGGGGCAGTCAGGCCAGGGAGTTCAAATGCAATAGCACCTATCACATGCTCCAGCATTAACACAAAAGCGCTGCTTATCCAGCACACAGATTACTTCTATGCCACTCTGGCTCCATAGGGGAAGGTGTTTAATACCCATTGGACCCATCCTGCCCAAGAAATAATTTCATGGGTGCAGAGGTGCTTTGCTTATTAATGGCAAGTGAGAATTTACCTTAATTACAGCCATTTCAGGACTAACCTCCTTCATGAGCATGAGGCCAGCCAGGCTGTTTCCATCCAGGTAGTTGCAACCATCAAAATATGAAGCAGTGCCTGGAGACTAAACCTGACAAGAGAATATTTGTAGGTGGCTGAAGGGAAATGTCTGTCTAGGCTGATGTTGTCCAGCTCCTTACATTGAACACAAGGCAGGTCTCCCAAACAGCACTTAGGATAAAGAGAAAGCACAGCACAATCCAGTGGACCTGCCCAGGTCTTCTAGGGGGAAATAAAGATGATTCTCAGGTATATGTGTAGAATTACCTGCACAAAGACCAGGCATGGTGCCTTTGACTCCTTGAGAGCACAGTCCTCACCATGACCAAGGCACCTGCGTATGAGGGGAGTATCCAGCCAGGAAAAGGGACAAAAATTAAAGGCCTGGAGCCTGGGGAGGTGCAGGGAAGAGACAGGGGAATTAAAGGAGAAAAACAAGAAAACAAGGGGCTTTTGTTGAATACAGGGAGGACCAGGTATGAACTTGCCACAAGCAGGAAGAGTTAGAAAATATCCAATGAATAGTCACCAGCAGGGGAAGAAGTTGCCTGGCCTCCTTGTGGGCAGTGTCACCATCCACCAGAAGCATCAGAAATGGAGACCTGTGTCCCAACAGGTACCTGTGTCCCTAGCAGGTAAGGCACAGGCTGTGAAAGGCCAAGGGCAGAGGGTTGAGCAGGGCACCTCCACACTGCTTCTGCACTGCTCCTGCCCATCTGTCCCCAGGTACATCATCATGCCACATCACCCTTCCATCCCGTGTGGCAACACGAATGCAGCTCTAGCAGAGTGACACTGAGTCACATTCCCCAATGAGGCTATCACACAGGCATGAGGCTTCATGGTCTCAGTCTCATCAGATTTTCTTAATCTGCAGCACAGGAGAATGAAAAGTCTTTTTGGGTGCATTCAGCTGTCCTTAAGGCTTTTAGAGTCAGGTTGAGGGTTTTTCTTCAGTCCTTGGAAGAGTGTACTTTCATCTCCCTCTCCTAGCCCAGCTTTTGTCCAGCTCCATAAGGGCATCACATCAGAGCTCTTCCCAAGCCTGACACACCGCTCACCATGCTGCCTCCAGGGTTGGGACTTTGGGGAAGGATAGGTGCTCAAAGCAAATCACATCCATAGGTTCTCTGCCATTAATTCTTTCCAGCCTCTCCTTTCCTTAAATCAGATGGACCCAATTGAATATCATCTACATGAAAAGCCTTATCACCCAAAAAGTCTCCTCCAATCAAGTTTCTATCCAAATCTCCCCCCTCTGGTAGTAACTAGAAGTTGAGATACTGGCAGACTCAAGTGTTAAATCTCATCAAGATGCTCACAGTTTTGTCTCTCCTTTTTAAATAAAACTCCGCTTGCTCCCCTACCAGTAGTAGGAACTTGACATAGAAGGTGCAGCTGGGGCAATGGGATCGTGGCAGGTCTGTTTTGAACAGAACTGATTCCCTTGCAGGGCATGGAGCAGACAGCAACACCAAACGCAGTGGCCAGCACCTCCCTGGACAGGACTCATCCCACCTACACCTACAAGGTGGTCCTTCTGGGGAACACCTCAGTGGGGAAGTCGAGCCTTGCCTATCGCTACGTGAAAAATGACTTCAAGGAATCGCTGCCCACAGTGGGATGTGAGTGAGTGGCTTTAGTAGGCTGATGCCTCTAGATAGCAGAGCAGACCTGGCACATGCATCTCATTTTTCATAGAAACCTTGTTTCCTAAGCTGAGTGCAACAAGTTTATTTCAGCAGGTCCTTTCTCAAGGGGAAAAATAACTTGTCTCATTTTTCCTTAAATCTGATATGGATTCTAAGGCTCCTTTTATACCTATAAGGAAGCAGCAAATATGTAAAGCTTCACAAGCATGGTGGCCAACCTGGAAACACTTGGAGCGATGCCAGGTGGTATCAGAAAAGTCTCCTCTAATCATTTCAAAGCTCAGCAGAAGTTTATTAGGTGATTGAGCTATCTCTGCTAAGTTGGGTGCACATGAGAAATAGAAGGGGAAGGTGGGTGCCATGAGCAGGACACACACATGAGCAAGTCATCCCAGGAGCTACAGGAGCTTTGTGTGCCCCAGCTCCAGCTCTCTCAGACCACCATGCACACTGAAGTCAGCACTTAGACATTTTATATGCTCATTTTTGCAAAGTATCCTCAAATTTTGTGTGGGCCCCTAGGAAGATGAGAGGCACAGAGGTCAAGGGCCTGAAGACTAGACAGAGGAGACACAGGAATGAAAAACTACCAGCTCTGGCATAAGCCCAACACACACTCTCCATGCCTCCTTGGCAGGTTCCTTCTTCACACAGACACTCTGCCTGGAGGCCACCACCATCAGGTTGGAGATCTGGGACACGGCGGGCCAGGAGAAGTACCACAGCGTCTGCCACCTCTACTACCGGGGTGCCCACGCCGCCCTCCTCGTGTACGACATCACTAGCAAGGTGAGTGCAGAGCCACTGCCAAGGAAGGAGGCTGCAGGAAACAGGGAAGGGGCTGGCAGCTCTGCCATGCTGGAAGCACAATACTGTGGGTACAGCATCACACAGCTCCTGGGCAGGGCACTTGGACAACCCATGAATTCCCACTCTCCTGCCAGTCGCCACCCGAGCACCAGATCCATAGGCTCGTCCCAGCAGGGGCAGGCTGACTGTAGGCTCGTGCCAAAGCAGCTGGGTGCTACTACCAGGCATTTGGGTCTGTCTCTGCAGGAAACCCTGAGCAGGGCCAAGCTGTGGCTGCAGGAGCTGGAGAAGGAGTTCTTCCACGATGAGATTGTGATAGCCTTGGTGGGCAACAAGGCAGACCTGGCCGCCGAGCGAGAAGTCACAACCGAGGTAGGCCTTGCTAGGCCAGCACCTAACAGGGGCCAGCCAGGCCTGCCTTTCCTCCCTCTCAGCACCCACAAGCATTAAGTTGGATCCTGCTCAGCTGTCGCAGCACAAGCACAGTTACTCTTCCTGGAGGTAACTCTGCTTTTCCCTAACTAGGAGGGAGAGGAGTTTGCACAGAGCAAGAGCCTGCTGTATATGGAGACATCTGCAAAATCCAACTACCAAGTGAATGAGCTCTTCACAGCAGTAGGTAGGTCAGTAGTAGTAGATGAGCAGAGCTGACAAAAGCCAGTGCTCCAAGGAAGCCACCAGGCCCTTCCCTGACTGAGTGTGGTGACAAATACTGTCATCCAAAGCTGAGGATGTGCCCCATCCAAAAAGCATCCAAAGCTTTAGCGTGCCACAAAGGCTGTGCCCCACACATGGGAGCAGGACCAGGGGCTGTCCGGGACAGCACCATAGGAAAGCCTGTCCTCCAGCAAACAAGTATTTTTGGGAAAGCACTATGGGTTTCACTATGTCACTGCAAGAATCAATGACAAAACAGTGAAGGGGTGCAACACAACATGCAAGACATATAGCACAGGGACAGGCCCATCCAGGACTGTTACAAAGCGATCCTAGATCTGGGCCACACTTTAGGCCCTCACCTGAGCAAGGCCCAGTTTTCTTCTAGTACCTAATCTAAGCTCAGCAGTTTCCCCAGCACAGCTCTTCAAAGAGATTTAGCGCAACTGTGCCTCTTGAATTACACCACCAGGGGCCGTGGGATTGGGGGCAGTGGGCCCATCCTTTCCACAGCACCGAGGGGAGGCACGGATTAAGCACTTCTCCCTCTGCCTCGCCTCCTAGCTCAAGAGCTCGTGGCTCAGGAAGGCCAGAAGGCAGCAGCGCCGCACGCAGCCCCCGTAGACCTGCAGGAGCCGCGGGGGCCGGGGCCGCGGTGCTGCAGGCCCTGAGCAGCGACCAGCCACCGAGCAGCACCCCGGGGCGAGGACAGGCAGCTCGCAGCTCTTGTGCTTGCCACCACCAGCCAGCGAGTGAGCTACCATGAAGCGACTCAGGTGGCCACAGCCACCTCAGGCCACTCTTCTTTTTACTTGCCCTGAGCAAGCTGGCAGCCCTGGCTGCATGCGTGGGCCATCTCAACAGCTAAACCAACTGTTTCCTGCAAGAAGAGGAGCAGCAATTTTCTCCACCACCTTTCCAACAGCAAAGACCACCATAAAGAGACTTTTTTCTTCCCCATGTGCTGGCAGAACCCTGGGGCACAAGGCTGCAGTCCAACCACAGCTTCAGCCCCAGGTACTGGGAAGCACCTCCTTAGTGTCAGCCCCCATCTCATGGGGATTTTCAGCTTTCTCAAGTAAGGAAAATACCACCTGATGGCTTTAAGCACAGGCTACAAAGATAATGTCATCCTAAAAGTGTGTGCAGTGTTTATTTTTTCAAGTGGGTATTTCTGGAGGTGCTGCACCCTGCAGCAGGGCAGCAGTTCTGCACAGCCACAGCACTGCTCAAGCTGATGCTCAACAGAAGCCCAATGAACTTCAGCACTGGCCTAAAGCAGATGCCAAGAGCTGTACTAGCACTGAGCAGAGGCGTGCTGAGCACAGGCTCCCTTACTGCAGTGTCCAGACAGTAGCAACAACCTTCCCAAACTACTGCAAGGAAAAAGTCAAAAGGCTCATTCTGATAGAGCAGGATGTTTTCCTACTCCTTCCCACCCACAGAAAGCCCAGGCACCTCTGAAAACACAGCCTTTAACTTCCAGCTCCCTCAGAGCACCACAAGATGCTTCAGGGCAGGCAGCACCCACCTGCATGATGTACCACGGGGAGGTGAGGAGCATTGCAGCACCCAAGACCCTTCACCAGGAGAAAATAGCCTTGTTCCTCCTTCCTGCTTACATCCTGGCTCCTTAATTGGGATTAATTAGCACTGGATGTGCTAATTGGCTCATCAGCTGCCCCTCACCCATCTCACCTTCCTGCAGTTAACCCTTCGTCTGCCAGACAATTCCAGCAGTAGGATCATTGAGAGGGAGAGTAACCACCCACAGGAGCAGGGTGCAGAACAGCTTCTCTGGCTCCGGGTGCAGCTTGGGGCACGAGGCTGTGGGGATGTGACAGAGGGCAGTGACACGGGGCCGGATTCAGAGAGATCCTCCACCCACACACTTGGACCAGCTGCAAGTCACAACTTCAAGAGACATCAGGGACTGGGAAGTTGGGTGTTTGGGGTGAGCGGGAGGCGGGGATGTGCAAATCACCCCTTCAAAGAGGGTCTCCATGCCCGTTCCGGCACAGCTGTGCCAGGGCCACAGTCACCGCTGGGTGCTCCCCAGCACCAGGCACGCGGATGGGGACGGGATCAGGCACCAGCATTGGTGGCCCTGGGGGCATTTCCGAGCCCAGAGCACAGGAGGAAGCACTGGGACTCAGGGCACCTCAGGAGGTGCCGCTTCTCACTGTGGGGCTCTGGGGGCAGCCGGGTGTCCCAGGATCTTGCAGATACGGCTGGAGAAGTTGCTGAGCCTGCAGGGCTTAGTTTTGGGGACGGCTCGATCCGTACGACAGCGCCTGGGCTCTCAGGGAGCAACGGGCCCAGCTGCACGTCCTGCTGTGCCAGCACCACGTGCGCCACCTCCCCGCGCCTCCGACGCCCCCAGCCACCGCGAGGCCCTGGAGAGAGAGGCTGGACACAGTGGGAGGGAGGCCAGGAGCCTTTATTGGTGCCCGGCAGCCGCCGGCTCAGGTGCTGGGCTGCTCCGGCGCAGGGCGGCGCAGCGGCCGGGCCCAGCCGTGGGCCGGCTCCGCAGCGCCCGGCGCTCGCCGCCGGCCGAACCGCCCCACGGGCCTGATCCCGCGGCCCGTGTACCACGAGGGGTCGATGTCCGGGTCTGCAAGGCAAAAAGGCAGCAAGGGTGAGGGGGCCATGGGCTTCCCCATTCCGAATGGGGCAAAAAGCAGGGTTTGCTCCCCGGCTCCGAGTGTGGCACGCCCCTTACTCCTGATTTCCATGGAGTGCTGCTCTGGGCGGCCCTCGGCGTCGCGCAGGGCCAGGCCGGCGAGCAGCAGCGCCGCGAGGCAGGCGGCCGCCACCTTCATCCCTGGCAGCTCTTCCTGGCGGCGGGGCGCGCGGGCAGGAGAGCGGCGCGGCAGGGCCGGGCCTGCGGGCACAGACACGGCCGCCTCACGCACCCGCCGCCGCGCCAACACCCCTCACCACGGCCCGGGGACGCTGGTTTGGGGATGGCTAGGGTCGTGAGAGCAGCAGCCTCTGATGTGGCCGCAAAGGCGGGTTGCAAATAGAGCTGGGCCAAAAGGAGTGTGAAAAGAGGAGCGTGCTAAAGAAAGCTGTGCAAAAAGCCGGCGTTGCCCCTGCAGCAGCAGGCAGACCCCATCTGCTCGGCCCCTTCCCGCTCCCTGAGCAAGCGCTGGCACCTCAGCCGGGGTGCTCACCTTGGGGCACGGCCACGGTGCACGGCAGAGGTGCACGTGGCTGCTCGATGCCCCGTTGCAGCAGGCGCTCCGTGGCTGCCCCTGGAGCCGACTGCCAACATGAAAAACCCGGAGCATCTCCTGAACCCTAAGTGTCTTGCAGCTCAGGGCAGCACGTTCAGCAGCCAAGCACGACCCTACAGTGAGGTCGCAGCACTTGGCTCGACTTGCTCAGCCACCTGCAACTAAGGAAGGGAGTGAGATGCAGAGCAAGAGGGACCAGCTGAGCAAGGCACGGCGTGGCTGCAGCATCACTTCAGGGGGCTTTTGCAGAGGAGAAGCAGCTCTTCAGGTGGGACATGCTCAAAAAGCAAGCCTGGCAGCTCAAGTTTGCAAAAGCCCCTGCATTTTCAGAGCAGCCTTTGGAACAAAAAAGCAAAGGAAAAGCAAAGGAAAAGCAAGGAAAGGAAAAGCAAGGAAAAGAAAAGCAAGGAAAAGAAAAGCAAGGAAAAGCAAAGCAAAGCAAAGCAAAGCAAAGCAAAGCAAAGCAAAGCAAAGGCTCTTCCTTTGTCCAAGCCCAGCCGGAGCGAGGAGGCATGCAGGGCGGCGCGCGGAGCAGCCCTGCAGGGACGCAAAGGCAGCTGTGGCGCAGGGCCCCCCCGCAGCACTTACCCGTCGCAGCGGAGGCGAGGCGCGCGCGGCGGTCCGTGCTGCGAGCGCCGCTCCCCCGGGAGCGCTTTTATGCCCGCTTGGGTGCTGATGTCAGCGGCGAGCCCCGGCGGGGTGCCCGGCCGCCGCTCCCCTCCCCGCACCATCAAATCACCGAGAGGGATTTTCATGACTCACGCGGGGCCGGAATTTTATCTCCCTTCGGCCAAAGGCAGAGAGCAGGGAATACACTAATCTGCATCCCGGGGCGAGAAGGACTCCGGGTGAAGGAGCGGGACAGGCACCTGGGAAGGGGTTTGGAGCACGGGTGAGATGCGGGTGCAGGGCAAGGGAAGAGGCACTGCCCTACACAGCAACGTTGCCCCATGCCCAAACCTCAGTCTCCCACCCTGAGAAAGTACCACTGTGAAACACGTTGTAGGTTCTGACCACAAAATTAGCTTTATTGTGTGATTTTGGATACCTGTATTTGATTTCTACACCAGTGGAAGAGGCAGGAAGCAGGCAAGTGACAGCGTAGGTGACAGCAGACCGAGCGATGCCGGGTTTTGTGCTGCCACGGCTCAATGCAAAGACTCCTTGGTGGGGTCAGGAGTGGGACAGGCTGCGTGGAAGGACTCGAGCTGCAGCTGAAACCAGCTCTAGCACGAGCGAGGTCCAGGGTGGAGGTTTGAGCTGCATCCTGATACCAAAAGGTTGGGCCAGCGTCTGCACTGGAACAAACCCACAGCAGTCCCCAAATCCTCATGGATGTCCCTGACTTGCAATGGGAACTGATATTTTCTAAGGAAAGTGTTAAAAAACCTGTCAAGCCCAGGAATGCTGCAACAAAGTGGGAAGGCGCCCCTGGCTGCTTTTAAGGTGCACTTCTCAAATTGACCTTTTCTGAAACAAGATTGACCAGTACCACAGGACCCCCTCCTCCCCGGTACAAGCTGGGACTCCACAGGGCAAGCTCACTGTGGGAATAGGTTCTCTTCCCTTCTGAGCATGGCGCCAGAAAGAAGGTTTTCTTCTTTTCTTTTCTTTTCTTTTCTTTTCTTTTCTTTTCTTTTCTTTTCTTTTCTTTTCTTTTCTTTTCTTTTCTTTTCTTTTCTTTTCTTTTCTTNTTTTCTTTTCTTTTCTTTTCTTTTCTTTTCTTTTCTTTTCTTTTCTTTTCTTTTCTTTTCTTTTCTTTTCTTTTCTTTTCTTTTCTTTTCTTTTCAGCAAGAAATTGGTTTTGTTCCATCGGGAAGGGTAAACACCACCCAGCCCATCACCCTGCTCTCAGGTGACGGCAAGGCTGATTCCTAGACAGTTACAAGTCTCTGCCAGCACCAAACCCAAACGTACATGGTACTTGCACAGGAGTTCACATCCTGGGAGTTCATTATCAGGGTGTTTTAGCTCAAATGCAGGGGAACAGCCCGGGGGGCGGCTGACAGGAGCTGGCCAAGAGCCACGAGGCAGGGGTGGAGGAAAGCCATGCCACATGTCCCGAGAGGGGCACCTATGCTCTGCTTGCTGAAGTGCTTTTGGACTCGCTCCAGTAACCAGTAGGGACATATTTATAAGCCACAAAAGCAGCCCGAGCCCCAGCAAGCTCTCCAGCCTCTCCTGAAGTTGGTCTAGAAACGCTCTGGCCTCACTGGGGGCCCCGGCAGCGCCGCTGCTCCGGGCACTCCGGGTGTACTCAGACAGGGCTGTGCAAAGCGGGGTGGCAAGGTGCTGGCTGGGAGCACCCCAGCCCTGTCTGCCCCTCGTGTCACAGCTCAGGGCCAGCGGCTGCGTGGTTCTCAAAGGGGTAACGGAAGGAGTTGGGGCTGAGCTAAGAATCCAGGCCTGGGACAAGGTGGGGTCCAGCTCTGCTACAGGAGTCTTTGTCCCTGCGTCACCATCGACAGTCACTCTTACAAGCGCTGGTTGAGCAGGTGACTCAGGGACAACGAAGGGTTTATCGAGACCCCCATACACGTTGGCCCCTTACTCCACCGGGCTGGAGCCAAAAATCCACACACGCTCCCTCCCACGTGCAGCTCCCCACCCGCGGCCTGGCCCCGGGGCCTTGCTCCTCCCCACAGCAGCTCCCAGCATGGCCTCCTGCTTCCCTCCATCCAGGCGTCAAGGAGAGCAGGGAGCAGGAGAAGGAAGGGCAAGCGGCGAGGGGAAAGCAGGCGATGCTTGGTGCCGAGGTCGTGGCTCGTCGGTGAAATCCACGGGCAGAAGGGGCCTCCTGTCCTCAGGGCAGGTGGGTCATCACCGGCTTCTGCAAGGGACCAAGGGGAGCACCTCAGTGCACGGCAGAGCTGTGACCGTGGCCGCCCCAGGGGACAGGAGGTCTGTTCTCCCCCCACCTCCCTGTCCTGGCCCCGGGACAGCTGACTGGGTGGCATGGGCCACGCTGGGGGTGGTGGGACTCAAGTGGGGTGTAAGTCTTGTTTTACTTCCCCCTCTGGGAGCTACTGACAGCCCAGGTCTCAGAGGGCTGGCGGGTAGGTGCCTCTGCTCTCACCAGCCACCCCACCACGAGGGCAGTAGACTCGAGGAGAACATCCTCGGGGAAAGGCCTGGGACCCGTCAGAAACTCCTGGTGCCCATGGGGAGTACGGAAACCAGGCCTGCTCCCTTGCAGATCCCCCCCAACATCTCGAGGCCCTGCCACGCTGCCGGAGTCGTACCGCGAAGAGGCGCTCCACCCTCCTGTTCTTGCCGTTGGGGTTTCTCTGCGTCAGAGAGCCGCGGTACAGGGAGTTGCGGTCAAAGTAGTCGTCGCTGCCTGTGTTAAGAGACATGAGCGTGGCTCAGGCAGGGGACGATCATCCATGTGGAGCTCGGGCAACTAGAAATAGCTCCTGAGGGCACATTGGTGCTGATCCTCCACTCACTCGCGGCACATCCCCCTCAGTAACGCCACTCACTTCACAGTGCTCACTTGCAGCCCATCGGGACACAAAAATGAGGATTTGACCTTTGGGTCTAAGGCAAGTATCCCCAAAGAGCAGCTCCTGCTCCACCCTGCTGGAGGTTTCAATTTCCCACTAAAGCGCTCGGCTTTTGTTATCCCCACGCAATTCACAACCGTGCCCGCACAGCGCAGCGAGAGCCTTCCTGTTGCTTTGGCAGCGGCTAATCCTGGCTGTGGAGTGCTCTTCGGCTTGCCACCACTTGGGTCGGAAGAGCAGAGTCACGGTGACACATCTGCACGCGAGTGCGAGCTGGGTCAGCCTGCCACTGGCCATCGCCCAAGATCTCTGCCCCAAGCCTCTCTGCAGTCAATGAAATTCCTTGGAAAGCCCAACCTTGCAAGGAGCTCTCATCTCAACTCTTGACTTACTAAATCACCTCCTCTTCACAACCACCTGTTTCCACTATCTTCTCCTTGACAAGCCCAACTTTGTGAGCCATGGACCTGCATGGATGACAGCCAGAAGACAGTCGTCCAAATCACCCATCCAGGGCAGAGAGGGGATTAGGCTTGCCTGGTGACATCAGATCTCACTGCACATCCGTCTATCTCCTTGTGGGGCTGACGTGTCCTCTGAGCTGCCCTTTGCAGGAGGGAGCACAGATGACTCTTCCTCAGCCCAAGGAGAAAGGACCTTACTACCTAACAGCCTCAGCTTCGGAAAGAGAACTTTTAATTGTCTCTGCGCATGGAGGAAATGCGATTCCTTCCCCGCATTAAATGATCTTTTTTCTCCCTTTTCCTGACTTCATCTTTGATTTGGCATTATCTGGAAGGAGAGCCTTTCTTTCTGTCTGTGAGCTTATGAGTCAAGATAAGGAAGAAATAGCAAAGTCATTTCCTAATGGGTCTTGCTGATGTCTGTCCGGATGAAACCATTTCCAGTGATTGCTCCCTGCCACACAAGCTGCCGGGCCAAGTTGAAGGTCGCTGCCTACTTTGAAGCACTTGTAAGCCGTGAGGTTTGAGTCTTGGTTGTGGATCCCAGTGGCCGAGGCAGGCAGGCAATGGGGCGAACAATACATTCCCCAGCACGACACTATGAGGAAGAAGTTGCTGGAAGAAGAGTGGTGGGCTCAGGTGAAGCTCTGAGATCTACATGTGAATGCATAGCCAATGGAACCCCAGCAATAAGTAACACAGTGTGTCCCTGGACACTGGGCTAGCAAAAACCCAAACTGGTCTCCTCTCTGGCACAGGACTTGGCTCGCAATAGCTGGATTGACAGAAGCCCCAACACAGACACAACGGTGGCTGAGTGTGGGGACTGAGTGTCCTCCCAGCTTGGGCGATGCACTTGCAGCTCCCCGCTGCCCTCTTGGCAGCAAGTCCTACCTGCGAATTCAAGATTGCTGTTGAACTTCCTCCTGAACACCTGGGGTCCCGACATCGCCTGCAAGAGGAAGAGGAGCAGTCTGTAGATGAGAAGGGGATGGGAGGATGAAGCCCACCATAAGGCTGCATTTCTACCACTTTGAATGTGGTCCTCTCAACACACGCTGGCCTCATTGCCCCCAGGCCTGATGCTGCACTGCGTGCACATGTACGTACCCCAGGAAGCTCTACCAGCCAAGACATCAGCAGCCAAAAGTGACACCAGGCAGCTCAGGCCACAAAAACCTGCCCAAGGTCTTAGACATCAGGTCATGGAGAGGATAAAGCCACCAATGCCACTAATACCTAAGCCAGGACAGACCTGTTGCTGTGTGCTGAAATGAGACTCGCCCCAGCAGAGCAGAGCTCATGGTCCCCATGCTCACTGAGACCCCAAGGACACCTCAAAATGCCATTTTTCAATCTCTGTTCCTCTGGCTGCTGCTCTAAGTGGCCTCCTTGAGCACTGGAGAAAGACCTCCAGCCCAGACCAAACACATACTCACTTTAATGTCATCCTGTGACTCGGCGCTCTGCAACCCCGGGCTGCTGCTGGCAGGCCTAGGAGATGGGAGGCGAAAGTCCTGCAGATGGAGGGAAAAGCAAAGGTTTCTCCGTGTGGGGCGGTGGAAACGGGTGGAAAAGCTGTCAGACCAATGGGCTGTGGCTACGTGGTTTCACAGAAAGGTTCAAGATTCGTGCAGAGGTAAAAGCTGTGCTAAGGGACTGTGCATTGAACTAGACGGGACTCAGGAATGGGCTTTACCCATGGCTTTTTGGACAACTCAGCCTGCCTTTGTTTGCTTTCTCACCAACTTTGCTTAGCCTGGCCTGATCCTAAGGTGAGTAAATAAGAAAGGCAGGGTACTGCCGTGGGGAGAACTCTCTGACCAGCTGCTCTTATAAAAATCAGTACAGAAATGCACAGGTTGAGACTACTGAGTATCAGGCTGGGATTCCTCCTACTGTGGGCAAGCTCAGAGGCGAGAGAACAAGTATTTAAGGAGAGACCCTGAAGGAGATCTGCCCTGGATCATGCAAACATGCATGGTTGAACACCCAGCAGGGCTCCTGCTGAAGCACAGGCTGCAACGAATGTCCTAGGCTGATAACAGGCTGCCGTGCAACAGCCCTGAATCCCCTCTTTGCAGGAGAAGAGAGAATCCCCCTGCCCAACATGCCAGGGATGGAAGTAGGAGATGATGCAGCATCCATGGCTCGGGGCTGGAATTTCACCTCCTCCATCTTCACACTCACCTGTGCACCGGATTTCTTCCTCGCCTTCTCCACCGACTTCACTGTCAGCCCTGCGGCTGTCAGGGCCGCAATTCGGGTTTCGATATCCGATACCTTTGGAGAGAGGCAAATACACAGTGTCCAGGCTGCCCACAACTGTACTCAGAAAGGCACAGCTGCCTGCCAGCAGTGCGAGGCACTCAGGTAATGAAAGCGGCCAGGCCTCTGCAGCTCTGTTTGCTGTCACTGGGCGTTAGGCAGGTAACCAGCTCCCTCAGGTCAGGTCCTCACCTCGCTCTCTGCCTGCTGCACTTGAGCGGCGGCCGAGGCCACTCTGTCCTCCAGCTCCGACAGCTCCGAGTCGGTGGTGCCGCCGTGCTGAGCCCCTTCCTCAAGCTCCTCCAGGGTCTTCTCCAGCCGGTATGTCTTTCCAGCAGTCAGGTACACCTGAAACAGAAGGGCCACCGTGGCTCAACTAACGTCCCTGTCTGCCTCCTCCACTCGTGTGCCCGCAGCCCCAGAGACAACATCGACCACTGAGAAGATGGCCACTATTTACAACTGCCGTCCCGCCTTGCAGCACAGCCAGTACCATTCAGCTCTGGTAGGGCTTTTCATCTCATTTTCTCACTGCCCTGGGCTTCTCAAGAGCAGTTACCAAGGGGGTGAAGTGGTAAAAGGCTCAACGTGACCATGTGAAGCAGTACAACTGTGACCCACTCAAGTAGTGTCAGCATCTTTAGGTCATGTCTTTGGTGAGCGTGGATACCTACAAGCAAGTGCAGGCTACCATGTCTCATAGTGGCAGGCTAGAAAGAGGATGTTTGAGGATCAAGACAGATTGACTTTCCAAATTTGCTCCTTTTTAAGGGTGTCTATGTGGCTGGGTTGCCTGGGGGTAGGATCAGGATTTAGGAATTTGACTCGGTGCAGCTAACCCATCCTGCCCATGCAAAAGGCACCTGGGCACAGGAGCTGCTCTGGATATGAGTGATCCCTGCTGGGTGCCCCAAGTGACATAGGTAAGCATGGAGCCCAAGGCAACAATGAGGTGACTAAGGATGCAGATAGCTCCTGGGAGCAACACGTTTACCTTGCTGCCTAGATAAGCAACATGAAAGGAGTGTGACCATCCATCCTAGCAAACCCACCGAATTTACTGTCACTTGATTCCTCCTTGGCTACCACGAGGATGCGAGTCCAAGCAAGGCCGTTTACGAGGCATGAACGTGTCCATGTGCAATAACATTGTGGTGGCAGCAGCTGTTGGTGGCTGCCACGCTTTGCTGAATGATCCCCAAGTCTTGGTGCTGCTAACCTACGTCCTGCTGCACCTCTCCCGGGCTGGCTACTGCGTGCGGCTGGCTGGCACGAGCCCTCTCTGCATGTTGAGGTACCAACTTCCATCCCCCTGGTCCCGCTCGTGCCATGAGGCAGCACGAATGCAGCTGCAAACACCACCCCGCGCTGCAAGCCGTTCAATGCGCCAGTCCTGGGGATGGAGACGTGTGTCAGGCTACTACCTGGCAGAGCCTGAGCATTTCCTGGGAGCAAGAGCACCCAGGCGGCATTCCCGGGAGGGCGGTGAGACAGGAATGGCTCCGGTGAAGCCCCAGAGGGATGCAGTGCCCATCAGCCCCCTTGCGTTCATGAGACCTGTGATTATGAGACACGCTGGTCCAGTCTCCTTCATGAAAACCTTACACTACTGGAGAGGAATCCAGTGGGACAACAGCCAGCTATTCCCGAACTGAGAAGAGGGTCCTGGCCTCCATCAGACAAGGCCTTGGGCTAAAAGGCCTTTGCTCTTCATCCATTGCTACCACTTCCTGCTGTATGAGGCATTTAAGTAAGTGTGATGAATCAGTCAATCCCTTGGTTACCTCTTGCCTGATGGATAAAAACTTTTCCTTTCCCTAAACTCCCCTGAATCTTACAACTCTGCAATTTACTATGCAACTGCTTCAAATTCCAGAGGAGGAGAAGTGCAGCTGGAAACATCATGTTTTCCTGTGCTTGGCTCCTCTCTCACACCCCTCCTGCCCAAGGAATACAGGCCAGGACCATGAGCCTGGCAGCCTCCTTCCACACCTTCCTCCCTCGCGTCTCCTACCCCTTCTCTGGGTACACCCCAGCATCTTTACATGCACATGGAGATCATGCACCCAACTTCCCGATTCTTATGGGATCCTTAGTCTCCTAACGCCAAAATACCCTCTTGCCAGGGGTTTTATCCTGCATTCCCCCTTCCTTCCCTCCCTGCTCACACAAACGTGTGGGAGCCTTACATGTGCTTCAAGGTCACGGTATGCTTCAGCCACCTCTCTGCTGTCTTTCAGGCCGGGGAGGGCGCAGGTGCCACTGCCCTGGCTCTCTCCGTGCACGGACTCATGGACCGCTCTCTCCGTGGCGTTTATGGCCCTCAGGACTTTGGCCGTGATGTCGCTCAAAGCCTGAGCTGAAGATCTCTGCGAGCGCCCGGCGCAGCCGAGGCGGAGGGCGGGCGGGAAGATGGAAGGGAAAAGAAAGGATGTTATTTTAGCAGGCGCTCACGGGGGTATAAGACCAGCGTGAACGGGGTGAGAGGGGCACCGGGCCTTCCGGAGCCAGAGGAAGACGGAGCTGCGCTAATGACAGGGCTCGCATTGTCCCTGGAGGGCTCTTGAGCGGAGACGGGAATGCGGCTAACGCAGAGCTTTGATCTCAGCCCGTGCGTCCTCGGTGGTGGCCGTGACAAAAGAAATCCCCTCGACGCAAGCAGAGGGCTGCCATTAGCCACAGCCAGCAACACCGCACTGCAAAAGGCCCCTTCGTTTCCTCCCAGCTCCCAACACGGCACAGGGGCTTTGGAAAGAAGTGATCCAGGGACACGTTTCCTCCCTGTGACTGGCCTGGCCATTGGAGCCGGCTGGCAGCAGCCCCATGGGACATGGGGATGGGGCACCTTGAGGGACATCCTAGCAGCTCTCTGTTGCAGAGGGGCCTTCCCTGCAGTGCCAGCATCTACCTGGAGAGGAAGCCGCCCTCTCGCCCCATTTCCCCCCAAGCTGCCACCCGGGATGGGCAGCTCTCCTCCTGCACCAGGAAAGCACCGTTTGAGGTTGCTTTATACTTCAGTGGGTTGGAGCTGGGATATAAATAAAGCCGAGTCTGTGGCAAAAGACAAAGACTAGCATTGCATTTCCCTTCTGCTAAAAGCTGGGAGAAGTGTCCCCCTTCTCTCACCCCAAGGAGTCCTGACAACAGTATGTCTTGTAAGTGCTGCCTGCATTAGCCCTTTTGCTTGATAAGGCATTAAGCATATTTAAAAATAGACTGAAGAAACTCATCATCGTCCTCTCTGCTGATAATTCCCTAGATACCAAGGAGATGGAGGTGATATATGCGCTGGAGACAAAGACAAACAGTTGTGTTCACAACCACACGTATTTCCAGGCAAGCCGTTCCGCAACGAACCAGCTCACTCCATCCAGCTGATATTTTTATTATTTTATTGTGCCTCAGTGGCACAGCCAAGCTGTATGTTTTCCATTAGGAAGGCTGCTTTTATCGCAGTGTTCCCCAGTTAAATTTCTTCCCGTCCAGGCAGGATGCTCACACAGAAACAAACTCTGAATCACACAAAACCCAAATGTTGCTGTGGGCAGGCCAGTGAGGTGGAGTGGAGCTTCATGAAAGCTTGTACCCATTGCCACGAATTCACATGTGACTGGGGATGCAACTTGGTTCAGAGAGTTACTGGGTATCCTAACAAGGGGTGTCTTTATGAATTATTTCTAGCCAATATCAGGAAAGCATAAAGAGAGTTGTAAAAATAAATAAGTGCACTCATTAAATGCACAGCACATGTGTGCACATGGCTGCTCCTACCACACTCCTCAAGCCACCTGCCCAGCAGCAGCCAAGCTTTGCCTTACAAAACCTAGGCACAAAGGCGTACGAAACACGGCGCCCGGTGGCAAAATGAAAGCGTCGGCAAACTCAGATGAAAGGAGCTTTTTACGAGGGGACGGGGGCAGCGCAGCCCACGCTCGCCTCCTTTGTACGGCTCGGCAGCAGCGGATGTGTCAAACAAACCCATGCACGCTCCGTCCACGACCGTGGAGCAAGGGAAGGGATGGACAAATAAGCCATTAGAGACCCGCGGGGACGCTTACCTTTGAATGCTTAACCTCAGTTTTGTGCTAATGGACCGTCTTGATCTGCACAGCTGGAGACACACACAGTCTCCCTTCCCTTAATGCACATCTGAATCGCCTGGCCCGTCATCAGTCGCTCGCCACCGGGGCTGCCACACAGCCCTGCGGGCTGGCAGGTGAGGTTGGGCATCCTGCGTCAGCAAGAGGCTGAACCAAACAGGCCATGGTCCTAGCAGCCCGTGAGGTGGAAGTGTTGGCCAGCACAACAGACGTCCTGTCACAGCACAGCTCTAAGAGGCTTACAGCAAAAGGAATCGCAAATGTGCCCATAAAAGCATGGATAGGAGGACACAGATTACCTGGTGGGCCTCGCTCGCCACGTCATCACTGGAGGAACTCATCTCTGGTTTCTTCGCTCCCTTCTTTTCTTCGTGCTCCTCTTCTTCCGAAGAGATTCCTTTGTCGCTGATGTTGCTGGCCAGCTCCTCCAGCTTCCTCTTCAACTCCTCCTCCTCAGCATCAGGATCAAGCTGTGACTCTGGGGCTGGAGGCTGAGGGAATAGGAAGGAGATTTGTAAGGGTTGCAGCCTTCAAAGACTGGCTGTGGGGTATGCCTGGGTCCATGCACACCAAGGCAGGCCTGCTGTCCAACACAAAGGTGGGACCAGAAGCTGCCCAGTGTCAACAGTGACATCCCACACCACATTCCACGCTCCTGCTCACACACCTTCTGCATGCAGGACAGGCAAGTAGGGGAGCAAAATGGAATGTAGTCCAAATTCTTGATGTTTACACCTCCACACACATAGGACATATTTGTTTTCCCCTGTGGAAAATTGGCTTTCTCCCTTCTCACCCTTAAAAAAAACACCACCAAGCTAACACTGGGGAGGCTGAGAGATTTGAGGCCAAACACTGCGGCGTTTTCATTTGAATTGCCACCTGGCTAGAGATCACCCAGCCCCAGCCAGCCCACTTGGCTGAGATAGGAGCCGCATGAAATACTGTTCCCCAAGGTAGCTTAGCCATACGAGACCAGAACTTCTTAGGTACCAAGAAATGAGAAAGCACACAGGAAATTGTCCTGTAAGAAAGAAGCCATATTTCCACTTGGCAGTATTATTGCCTACAATTTATTTTAACTCAGGAAGAAATCCTAACAAAATCTCAGCAGCTGGAAGGGATTTCCAGAAGATACTGAACCCCCTGTCCTTGGCCTTAACATGGGAATGCAATTACCTGCCTCATACCTGATGGCTTCTGTCCTTAACAACCTTCAGCAGCAGCAGCATTTCCAGCAGGCAATACTCCCTCCAGGCAACCCATTCCAGGGCTCTGTCATCTTTTCTGCTAGAAAGCTTTCCCTAATAGTTAACCTGAATCTGTCCTGGAGCAGTTTAGACCCCGTTACCTCTGCTCTCATCTGTCACGGCCACGAGAACAGAGCACTGCTGCTCTCTGAGGGAGCTTTCTGCCTACGTGGGCACTTTTATCCACCTCATCTTCACCTTCTGGGAGGCTGAACTGCTTGCATTTTCCAAACCATCTCATATATAACTTCTTATAGTTATGTAACCATTTTGGTTGTTCTTTTATGGAGCCCAGCTGATCAAAACTATAGAGGTTTTCTTGATACCACCCTTGACAACTGCAGCTCTCAGCCTGGTGACATCTACAAAGGTAACGTGCTCGTCTTCTACTCGAGCGTCTTGATTACGGAAATTACGAATGTGGCTGCCCCCATTATGAATTTTGAAAAAGAAGAAGAAATCACATGGTTTTACTTATGCCTAGGTGGGTTTTCTGTAATTATTACCATCCATTCCACTGAGTGATCAGCAGCCAGAACAGTTCACTGTAATGGGTTCACATTAAGGTAAAGGAAAGAACATAGCCTAAAATTAGAAGGCTAGAATCAATGCAAAGCGACCTATATATTCCCAGATACTATGCTGCTGCCCAGCTTTAACTTAATTTGGCTGCCTTCTTGCAAGCTTGACAGCCTTGTAAGGCAAAGGGAGCCCAGAAGAGAGACAAGAAGTCCTTTCAACTAGGACCTTTTACTCACAATAACCAGGTCATGCCCCTATACAGCTCCAAATGAACTATGACAGCTCACTGACACCTGTCACAAAATATTGCCAAAATTAATATTTTACGGAATATCGAACTGAAGCGCAATTCTTCTTGTGCCGAAGAGGCACTAGCCTGCATGTGGGCTCAAAGGCCACAGGTTGAACTCACTTCTGTTTCTGTCCTGCCACGCAATAGTTTCTAAGGCAGATCTGAAATGAGAGGAGTTTCCGAGGCTCAGACAGAGGATTAAAATCAACCAACCAGCCCTGAATCCTTTGGTGCTCCTTGAGCACCATCCTGCCAGCTGAAGGATGGATGCAAACCACACCAGGCTGGCTCCTAGCATCTCCTCCACCTTCAAGGAGGCTGGGAAAGGGCCAGGAAGATAGAAGTGCTGTAGTCACCCTGGCTTTGCCCCATTACCTCATTGGAGCGCACCAGGATTTTTTCCTCCAAGCGGTTCAGCATGCGTTCGATTGCGGACATGCGTTTGTTGAGCTCATGGATCTAGAGGAAAGGAGAGAGCAAAGGAGTAGAGAGCAGACCAGCCACCACCACCAAGACAGTGAGATTAAAGCCTGGGACATGTGCAACCAGCAGGAGAAAGAAAACAGTGAGAAACCATCACCATGGCCTGAGCACAACCCAGTCGCAGGCAAGGTGGATGGCAGGAGGTTTCACCACATAACAGAGGGCAATGTAGGGACTTGGTGTGCACAACGAGCTTCAATTAACTCCAGAGCAGCAAGCAGCACCAGGAATGTTGTCTTTGCAAAGCGGTGCCTTGCTCAGGGGACTGTGGGTCTGAATGCAGTTCCAGCCCTGAAATCACACTCATCTGATTGATGCAGACACGTCAAAGCAAGCCATGGAGGTACACGTTGTGCTGACTGTCAGTGGGTGACCAAAAGAGTATAAACAAACCAAAAAGAGGATGGGGCTTAAAAAGACATCCCTTGTAACCCATAAGACCTCCAAGAGGTGCCTGGCCTCTCCTCAAATCTGGAAAACTCAAAGTAGCATCAAGCCCACACAGGGGAGGAGGGAAGGAACCACAAACTCCCAAAAAATCAAAGAGAACATGCTTTCTGTGCTCAAGAGCAACAGAGCTCTTCCTGTGCTCTAACATCTCCATCTGCTTGCTGAGGTTATGCCACCTTACTGGAAGGTGAATATAAGACCCTGATGCTCGGGAGAGCGGAGCGCTGTGATTACCATCCCCAATTGAACGTGTCATTAGCAGCATTAAACCTACAGGCAGGAGGTGACCCCATACATCTGTGAGAGCATGAGAGCATTGCCCTGGTGATGAGGAGACAGTGAAAGGTCATCGACTTCTGAGCAGGACACGGCAACAAACACAATTTAGAGCTTCAGCTTCCTCCAGACTATTCAAACGTGGTCATGGAGAAAGCTGTGCTAGGTGCTTCCTCCATGAATCCCCATCAGGCCTGGACCACCTTGCAGTGTTCCCTCCATGACAGAGGCTGGCAGATGCTGCTGTGTATTAGAACATGCAAAGTGAAGAAATGAGAAGGAAATGCAGCCTGCAAGGTGAACACCAGTTACACAAACTCGCACCAGCTTATGGGCTGCAAGGTTCCCCTGCAAGGTTCTGCCTCCACTGCCCAAAAGCAACTTGGAGGAGCTCCAAGACCTCTAGGTGAAGGGTTTACGTGAAGGAGAGGAGACAGGTTGCAGGAAAGAGAGGAAAAGGCCTGAGATGGGCAGAGCCTTGGACATGTAGAACCACTCAGCTCTCTTGAGGAATGGCAGAATACAAATAGTTTTTTAAGAGAAACTTAACCAGCAAGCTGGTGCTCTTCCATGTGGCTTGGCTCTGCTCCTACTGCAGCCAAAGACCTGGGTCTCTGCTGAAATCAAGCGGTGTTTATGCAGCTGCAATGTCCTACCTCTTTGGGCTCTTCACAAGTCTTGTCAGGTTTGAGTGAGCGTGTGTTTTTTTGTTTCTGTTTTGTAAAAAAAGCTTCTTAAAAAAAAAAAAGGAAAAAAAGAAAGGTTTTCATAGCTCATGGAGTCACAGGGCCAGGGGCGGTCTTTTTATTCCCAGAAAAGGTAAGTTTCTCATGTGGACTGAAAACGGGCTGAAAAGCATGCCCTGCCCAGGGTTAAAGCAAACCCAAAGCAGTCTAGTGCATGCATGGTGACTCTCAGTTCAACCCCGTGTTTTGAAGAACCTGCATGAAGCACCCGCTGAGCTCAGGAGAAGCCAGTCTGCTGCCTTCTGTCCCTCCTCAGGCCCCCCCATCCTGGGTAGGAAAGGAAGAAAAAGAACCCCTTTTGAGCCACCCTCAGCTCTGCCAACGTGAACGCTAGAACTGAAACCTGTGTTTTCTTGTCTGCTGCAGAACCGTGATTTCCCTTGGAGTTTTCCAGGACGTTTTCCCTCGCTCTCATCTCCGGGCTGGTACCCGGCCTCTCCACAGCCAAGGGCACCCGCGCTGCGCGTGTTGCTCTGAAGTTAATGGGCCGGTGGGTGCCTGGCTTGCTGCACGGGGTGAGGGAAGGCTGTGTGGGAAGGTGGTTGCTAGCTGTAAACGCATCAGCAGCATGAAGGCAGGAAGGATGAAAGGCTATTTAAGCTAATGGGCAGTGTTGGCATGAGAACAAATGGGGTTAAATTGGGAGTTAGGAGGTGTCTTGCAACCATTAGAGTGGCAAGCTTTCCTGACAGCCTTCGGATGGGTGAGATGGAGCCAAACATGTTGCACCAAAACTTGCTGAAGCACCGTTAGGTGAGAGCTTGCCCAGCTGGTGAAGGAAGTCATCTGAAGTGTTGGTAGGAGTTTGGCCCCATTTCCCCACTGCAAAGCACTCTGCATTTCATGCCTAACGTACCGTGGTCTCGTTAAGGACACCCATTTACTGCTGACTGGAAAATGAGGAACATTCGCTCATTAAAACACACGTTGAGAAAAATAAAGGCAAAGGAAAGGTTATGGATTACCCAGAAGTGTCCACCAGCACATGCAAAGCTACCAGCTGAAAGCAGAAACCAGAACTGGCTTTTCCCATGTTATTTGTGTTGCAAAACAACAATGTGTGTTTTGCAGCTTAAGAGGGCGAGGCTTTGTGCCACGCCAAGCATCCTTAAAGGTGTCATCAAGAACTCCAGGTCCCTGCTTTACAACTAAAGCACGTGCTCGTAGCCCTTCAGACACCTCTAGACAGCTCCTCTGTTATGGTTCAGGAGAGGGATGTGACAAGTCGGACTGATCCCGTCCTACCGAGCCTGCAACACTCTCCACACTGTAAAAGAAAGGGATCTTGACACTGATTAAATATCCCTCTCCAAGCTTTGGGCTGATCGTAGCGCACCAGTACATTCAATTGAGAAAGGTCCTTCTGGGGACAAGGCAAACCACAGCTGAAACACAGGTTAGCAGGGACAGGCTGGTAAATCAGCAGCACTGAAGGCAGGGTGGTTATTACAGCAGCAGCAGGCTCAGGCTGGAACAACAGTGTTTGATTTCCTCTTTGCCATGAATGTGGTGGAATGAGGACAGAGCTCCAGGGTATATTTGCATGATCCTAACAGGGCAGAGGCTGCATCAGTTTGCCACCACTGCTTTTGCTTCTTCTCCAAAGCACTGCCCTACACCTCACAAATAACAAGCATGGTTTATGGTCACCAACCTGGTCCTACAAGAAGTTTAACAGCTGCTGGATACCTGATTTCCAGAGGGGCTGACATTTTCCTGGGAGGAGGCTCTGTTCCTGCGTTTCACGTAATGGGATGCGTAGCTGGTGAACTTCTGGGGCCCCTTTGCATCCTCATCAGAGGTGTCCATGTCTGCGGAGTACGGGGACCGAGGCTGCTCGTTCCAGGGGCTGCCTTTGGAGAAAGAAGGCTTCAATACAAAGACACAAGAGATTCATGCCCAAAGTTACCTCTTTCACTCTGCTCCAAGTACTCACAGTTACTCCTCCCCAAAAGGAGGCAGGAGGAGTCTGGCTGGAGACACCTACCAGGTTTCACATTCCTTTCCAGGCTCCTTCTCCGCGAGTTGACCGTGAACCGAACCTCAGTGCTGAACTCCTGCTTGGGAGGGCTCGTGCATGGTCCCTGTTCCTGCAGGACGGGGGGGAAGGCTGTTGCCAGATCTGCCTCCTCAGCCACGGTCTCCTTCTGGGAGGCATCCTCAGCGGAATCGGGGAAGTCTGGGAAGGCCTGAGAGACAAGGATTGCTGCTGAGGAGCTGTCGTGAGGTTGCTCTCCATCATCCCCTTCCTGAGCTACAGAGACTAGTTTTGCCCTCTAATAAACGCATACATTGACCTTTCATAATGACAGTTCTTAAAACTTCAGATTTTTAAATATATATATATATTATATATAGTATATAAATATATTTACTGTATATCTTATTATTATATTACATATATCTTATTATTATATTACATATATCTTTCTTTTTTCTTTCTTTCTGTGAACCCCCAGCACTACCTATAGCCACTGCCAGGGGGCAGCGTTAAGTCTTATGAAATCTGGGCACAGGCTGCCTTCAGGCTCAGGCTGAAAAACCTTGGTCCTCAAGATCTGGCCTTTAAAAACCATCACGTCCCCTCACTTACTAGAACATCCTCAAGATCTGGCCTTTAAAAACCACCACATCCTCTCACTAAGACAAAAAAACAACCTTCTGTCCCTCAGGTAGTTTGCAAACTCCAAGCTGAGCCAAATGCTCTCAGACTTCAGCCCTCCCTCGCCTCACGTCAAATTTGGCAGCACACGGGCAAGCTCAGGTAAAAAAAGAACAAACCTATTTGTTTATCCCTAGCTCTAACCAGCTTATACTAATGCAAAGTCGTCCTCCTTCACAACCTTTAAAATCCATTTTTTTTTTTGGTAGCTCTCAGGAAAAGGAGAAAAAAAAAGACAAAAAGAAAAAGAATCTAATGTTCACACAGTTCTGTGCCCCAAGTTCTCTCCCCCAGTATCCTGTCCCTCAGGTATGCTCATGAGGGTCATTCCAGCTCTACAGGAGCTTCACACAGGCAGTGTAGGTCTGTCCCTTGGTGCTGCTGGGTGACTACGTCTCTAGTGCCACCACATGGACTAAAGGGCAAAAAACAGCAGAAGAAAACCATTGCCATCAGCAAAGCAATCAGCAGGAAGGCCAGAGAACCCCTTGCTGTCCCATCCTGCTGCTCAGCCCTGCTGCAGTTTGACATCCTATTTCTGACTCAAACTTAGACAAGGGATTTCTTGCAATAAAAGACAGGACAGCCAGCAGGGCAAGAGGAAGGCAAGGCCATCACCTGCCCAAACCACCACGCAGTTGATAGCTGGAGGAGAAAACAGAGGTAGTGAGGAGGGAAGGAAAGAACTGCAACGTCCGCCTTGCTCCTAGTACCTGGAAGCCCTCCGGGCTGCTGGCTGCTGGAGAGAGCTGTGCAGACTGGCGCCGGGACTGAGCAGAGTAGTCCGAGTCCAGCTCAAAGTCAAAGGGATGAACAGACAGCAGGCGCTTGGTCTTGCGCACCTTAGGCAGCGTAGAGGGAAAATTCAGTGTGAAACTCAGGTGATCTTGGGAAACAGGAGGGAGGGTATCTGTTCCTCTAGTGAAGGAGAGGTGTATGGGCAGGAGCTGGGACTTTCATATCTGTGAAGGACTCCCTCACTGTCAGGACCAGGTCCTTTTACAGAGGGCAAATAACTGTAGTTTCACAGATTGGCTGTTTCTACACAATCTGAAGTGGGGTTACTGCAGATTTTGAGCAAGGCACAGAGAGCCACCACCACCACCATCACCCAAGGAAGACCAAGGGCAGCAGTTGAGGGCACTAAGCTGGGCAGAAGAGGCCACAGGTGGAAACACTCACTGTGCTGTAGCCCTCTGCTTCAGCTCCGCGTAGGACATCGTCTTCATTGTCACTGTCATCCCCTGTCCCACCACTGGTGGGCAGCTGGCATTCACCTGCAGGAAGACAACAGCACAGGGTCGGTGGGCAACCTCAGTACCCTCTTGCCTGGCATTTTCCCCTTGGGCACACCTGTAGGTAGGTTGTGCTGCTTATCTGGGTTGGAAGAGGATGGATAAGGAATGCCTAATATTATTTTTTTCTCCTCTCCACAATCTGCAGCATAGCCAGCAGGCTGCCTAACTAAATAGATGGGGAAAAAGCATAAAAAATGGGCAGCAAATTCCCACGACAGCCCCACCATGGCCTGGAAGCTAGTGGCCTTTTTGGGGTGCAGCTGCTAGGCGGCAGTGCAGATATCTATGGGTAGCACTTGGCCTTGCATAAGCTTGGATGGGCTCTCACTGCATCACCTTTGAGCTCTGCCCCTCACCAGCATGGAAGTGACCATGGCAGGAGCCCACATTTCAGGGACCACCCTCAGTCCCCACAGCTGGAGACCATGAAGAGTCAAAGCCAGTGAGCATCTGGCTTGGATTTGAAACCTGCTACAATTCTCTTTCAAACAGCAATCCAAAGAATAAACTCACTGTTAATGTCTGGCAGGCTGTAAACTCTGTCATGAAGACCTAAATGAGAAGGAAAAAAAAGGAGGGGAAAATATATATAAATATATTTTCTTCAGGTACATCACACAGAACAGGTGTCTGAGTTGAAATCCACTGCAATTTGAGCATGAGGCACCACTGGCAGGAAAACTCAGCAGCGGTGAGGGCAGAAACCAGGACTAGCCCCATGCAGGGCCTATTTAGGTACAGGCAGAACCAAGGAAGAGGAGGAGAGTTTCAAGAGCTGAAGAGCACTGGTATCCGCCAACATGTGGGACTGCAAACACTGGGGATGGGACCTCAGCTGCACCCATACGACTGGGAAAAGGCACTCGGGGCAGCGAGGGGGAAACAGGATGGGCTCGGGTGGCTCAGCGGGGACTCGAGGAAGGCCAGGCCCGTTCACAGGGCCCAGGAGGCGCCACGTCGCTCCTCACCTGGCTGCAGCCTGCCGCACAGCGACTGCAGCACCTTGGCGCTCCCGAACCGCTTGAAGCGCGAGCGCACGTGCTCGTAGTACCACTCGAGGGACCCGATCTTCACAATCCTGCCCGAGGAGGGGAGAGAAGACAGGGATGAGCCAGGACACGCACCCACCCTCAACGTGGGGACCGCGGTGCCCTGCACGGACCCGTGCGAGCGCCGGCGACCCGCGGGTACCTGGACAAGCGGCAGGGATCGCAGACCCAGCCCTGCTCCTTCTTGTTGTAGCGGCTGCAGCCCTTGCACGTGTAGAAGTGGCAGTCCAGGCACTGCCGCTTGCTGTTGAGCAGGAACTTGAAGGGCTGGAGGCAGTGCACACAGTGGGTCTCGTTCAGGTGGGACTGACGCGTCAGGAACTCCCTCTTGCTGCTCTCCTTGTCAATCTTGCACTTGAGATCCCTGCGGGAACCCCCCCCCAAGCAGAGCAGCGGGCATCAGGGGAGGGGATGGGGACACAGATACCCCAGGCCAACAAGAACTCGGGCTGTGGCCTTGGGCTCCAACGCCGTTCCTGCTCTCATTGCTGCAAACCTGCAGCAATGCCAGAGATAGTGGTAGCACTGCACCAATTTTGACATCAGCGCACCCACATCCAGGATTTCTCCACTGATTTCTGTTGTTTAATTCACCCTGGGTGCTTTTACCAACATGATATAATCCCACCACTCTGTGCAGCCTCCCACATGGCCACCTCCATGCTTGACCATTGTAGGGAACAATTTTCCAGGGAACGTCTCCGAGTTGCGGGGTGGAAACAGCTGCAGGGCAGAGCTAATTCAGGAACGTGTCACGGGGTAAATGAGCGGAGCTGAGCAAAGAAGCGACAATGGGGCTGCAGGTTCAGGGCGAGCAAGGATCTGCCGCTGTTGCATTCCAGGCACAATTTGGCTGTGCCCAAATCTGTCTTGTTTCACCTTGCACAGTACAGAACACAAATGTCAGGAGTCCCGGCAGAGCAACTGCTCTTGCAAAGACGTCGGCCACATCCCAACCCGCCGTGACCTTTGAGCCTGGAGTCCAGCCGGGAATTAAAAGCTTTTCTGGACTTCATAATGGCAAAAAGCAATCGGAGATTAAAAAGGACATGTCAAGTAACCGTGCCAGATGATCCAACCAAAGAATGCTCTACAGGTTGGAAAAACGGGTTATATTTGAAATGTCCAGCTATGAGCTTGGGAAGCAGCTGCCTGTTGGCGCTTGGAGGAGAGAAGCAAGCCCTGCGTGCACCAACCCTTGCTGCACGGAGCATCACCGTGGGATCTAACACCCGTCTTATACCCAAGACCTTTGGGGGTAAATTCAGCAGAGGCTTTTCCTAAAGGCAGAAGCAGCTAAAGGTGTAGCGAGGTTCAGGCTGTTCTGGAGCAAACAGCTGCAGGAGATGCTCACACCAGACCCACCAGCGCCCAGCCAATGTGGGTGCTTTTGAAGAGCACGCTCTCCTGGCACCCTGCTCCACCACAGACTTGCCTGGCTAGGTCCCCACGTGGGTTCAGGCCAGGACCAAGCCCCCAGCAATAGCCAGGGACACCCAAAACACACATTGCAAGCTACCGAGCCTCCACGTCGGAGGCAAGGACCTCTTGCCTGGCCTGAAGGCTATTTGTTCTCTGGGCAACGCACTGACTCAAATATGTTTGTCTTTGGGGCTATGCTCTAAAGCCAGTGTTTGACTTGTAGGGAAGGTCCTAGAAGGCTTGTTTTCTGTAGAGGCACGGTAAGGAAGCTGCATTTTCCAGCAGGGAAATCAGGCCCACAAACCTCAAGCAACCAGGCGGCTTCACCAGGTCTGCATCCTGTTCGGCAGCGGTGCCGCAGCTAAACTTTCCTCCGGGGCTTCCCGAAGGACGCAGGTGGAACGGGAGACGGAAGGCGCCACGGCTGGACTAACCACGCCGGCCCAGGAGGCAAAAGCTCAGCTGATCTCAAGCACCGTCCTGCAGCGGCCCTGGGACAGCCGGGCAGGCAGGAAGCTCCGGGGGCTGCCTGGCATGGAGCAGGAGGCTCCGGCTCTGCTCCTCGGGCCCTCCCGGAGAGGGGGCAGCCGCACGGCAGGAACAGAATCCGACAAGAAACCTCCGTGTAACCGCGCGCGCTCACGAGGGCCGAGCTCTCGCGTTTCCCCCGGGAAGACGTTCCCAGGCCGCTTGCTGCCCGCGCTCGCTGCGCCCGGCGGCGGCGCCCGCTCGCATTAACAGCTGCAGACCCACACCGTGTAAAACCAGCACAAGGATCGACCCAAGTTTTCACCTTCGCTTAGTGCACACGTTAAGCAGTCAACTCACCCGTGGATACTAACTCCTAAAGCAGAAGCCCAAGGGGGCACAGCCTGTGGCAGCTTTACACACCACCCCCTAACCCACCACACAAGCCATGGGAATGGGCCTGCTTGCACTCACATTTATCCTTTTTTTTTTGTAAACAGGTGCTGCAGGTACCTAATGCAGCGCCCCGGTCTTAACCCCGTCGAGACGGCAGCGCCAAAGCCTGAGGATTAGAAAACAAACAAGGAAGAGGAAGCGCCTTTCTTGGGGACACTGCTCCCCTTTGAACGTGGATCCGCGGTTTGCAAACAGGTCCTACCTGGCCATGGCTCCCAGGTGCCACCCCAAGCTCCAGGTCGTCCTGCTGCGCTCGGGCTCTTCCCGGCAGCGTCCGATCTTTCCCCAAACTGCTCTGTCTCGTTCTCAGAACTGGTCAGACCCCTCCACCCCCTGCCCCGCCAGCACGAGGTGCCAGAGGAAGGACGAGCCCCGAGCTGAGCAGTCTGCACGCTGGCCATCGGGGCATTTCGCAGGCGCAGCGCTCCCCTTGCACGTCAACGCGGCCTCAGGCTGCCCAGGGCTTTTGTCCCGTAGCCAGGAACAGCTTTTTGCAGAAAAGAAAGCTCAGAGGGGGCGCGGGGAGGGAAGAAAAGGACCAAGGAGGGTGGCTGGATGTTCCTCCAAGGCCTGCATGTTGGGGCAAGCCGAGGGGAGGAAAAACAAGGGAAGAGGGGCAAGAGGATACGTGGGTACTGAAGGCCAGTTGCATCGTGTCCCGACTTGTTGCAAGCAGAAAAATGCTCCCGGCCAGGCGTGGGAGAGCGTCTGGCAGCCCGGGACCGTCTGGCAGCCCGTGATGGGCGCTATATGCGCAGGGGGGCAGGCCCCGAGCTGGGGCTGAGGCTCACTCTGGGAGCCCAGCACGCGGCCCCGAGAGGGGCTCGGCGTCGCCCTCCTCTCTGCCGTGGGGCGCAGCAACGTCAGCTCCCTCCTTCCTCCCCCAGGATCAGCTCGGGGCCGCCCTAAGGGAGACGCCTGGCCCTGCTAGGCAATCACGTCTGAGTTTGTAAAACACCCTCCTCTGATCTCCGTGCTGCACTCGAGGGCTCCCAAGAGCAAGGCAACAGATGGTGACGCCGAGTCAGCCCTGCCGCCCTCATGGGCTGGATTTTCTGGATCACCCGCGAGCTTCTGTGCAAGCAGGAGCACGGGGAAGGCCCCACGATGTGGGGCTGGGAACCCCTCTTTGCAGGGGAAGCAGCTCCTCTCACCAGCTGTCACCAAAACGCACCCTGAATGGCAGAAGTGAGAACCAGAGTCTTCCTGCATGGCCTCACATTCCATGAAAAGTGACTTTTCCAAACCTGTTTGCTCCTTTCATTGCTAGAAGCGATGCCAACTTCTTTCAGAGCATGCAATGTGACGAGAAATCTTGTTCCAGCCTCTTTAAATGGGTCCCTGAAACGGCTGCAGCGGAGCTGCTGGCCATTTTCTCCCCAAAATATTGACTCTTCTGGAGAACCCAGGAGATGTGCCCTGCTCCCCGTCGGAGTTAACCAGGAACTCCATGGGTCTCCCAGCCCCCCCATCCCAAGCCAGGCACTTCCACTGCATGGAAAGGCTTCTCCGGACATCCTGGCATGGGAGGCTCCCTGCGGATGCTGCCCAAGGTCTCGCTCCCACCAAGGAAACAAGCGCCTATATGCTGACTGCTCCGGAACACTGCTGTGAAATTTAAGTGATTGGCCCTGATTTTGGCCCTCCTTTAGCAGCAAACTGCTAACCCTGTAAACAAGGTATCAAGAGGCACAGTTTTCTAAATCAACATGTAATACACGAAAACAGCTGGGCAGAGACCAGCCTCAAGAATTTATCACATTTAATAAACTTGCCAGAAAACAGATATCAACAGTTTTGCATCACAGCTGAGCTCTTCTGCTCCCCAACCAGCTTTAGCCCCTGCTCAGATGCCAATATCCCATGCCGAGCTTGGAGGAGCGTGACCCTTGCCCGCATGATCCCTATGATTCCCTCCAGACCCTCGGGGCAGCCGGGCTGTCTGTCCAGCTCACAAAATCAGGAGCTAGATGGGTTAGCAGAAGGGCTGCACTGCCCGAAGGTGGTCCTGGAGCACCAGCATCGTGCTCCGATAGCGAGGAAAGCTTGGCCAAATCCCAGTAGGATGCCTAAAATAAACTTGGGAAACTTTGAGTTCCAGGTAGTGATAAACAAGGCTGGGGAATCTTCTTGCATGGCTCAGTAAAGCGAGGGAGCCAGATCTGATGGCTGATCTTGGTGAAACCCACCCAAGCACCAAACCCAACTCTAGCCCGGACGTTTCCTCCATATGGCCGGAGAGCCGGACACTGTCCTGGTGGCAGGGCGAGGAGGCCGGCTGGCCCCAGGGTGGCAGGAGGCATCGCCCGGCAGCCCACAGCCCGGGAATCTCGGCAGCCGAGTCCCGCCAGAGCCCGGGCTGCTCCTCCTCACCCACCGCCTCAACCAGGGGCCTTAGTCCTCGGTGCCGTGCACACCCCCGGAGCAGATACTCACTCCAGCCGCTCCTCCTCCTTCTTCCGCAGATCAAAGTCCCGCTGCACGACTTCCCAGACATGCTTGGCCTCGTCGTCCGTGAGCTTGGAGAGATCCAGCTTGCGGCCCATGTCGCTGCTGCAGGAGGAGAGCGGGGCACGGTCTGCCCGCAGCGCGCGGGGCCGGCTGGGGCGCAGCGCCAGCAGAGCCCGCCCCGGCGAGGCAGGCGGCAGCGCCGGCCCGCAGCTTATCAGCGCGGATCCCGCCCGGGAAGGCCGCCCCGCGCGCCCCGGGGCAGCGCCGCGGGCCCTCGGCCTGCCTCGGACGAGACGCCCGGCTGCAAACCCGCCGGCCCCTGGCATGGGGCGGGCAGCGCCCACCACCTCAAACACCCCCTCGCGCCTCTAAGTCGCTCCCCGTGCCCCCAGGCAGCACCTCCCCTGAGGCCTGCGGGGGGGAAAACAGCCGGTTCTCCCCCTTATCAGAGCTAATATCGGCGTTCACCCATTTTTTAACCCCTCCCCAGCAGGCAGCCAAAGGAAGAGCCAGAAATGGGGGGAAGGAGATCAGCAGAGCAAGCCAAGGCTGCCGCAACAGGGCCCTCGTCGCCGCCGGCCACCCGTCCTGCGGCCACCAAGGCTTCCCACCGCGCATCGCCTGCCTATGTGCCCTGCTGCAAGCAAACACCGGACCCACCTCTGCGGGAAGAGCTGGGAAGGGGCTCCGGACCCGGACAAATCTGGCACTGGAAAACTGCAATAGCTGCAGCTCCCACCGCGAGCTGGACGTTGGAGAGGAGCTGGACACTGCCAATTGATTCCCTGCTGCCCTGCGGGCAGAGACACGACCCCCCTGAGCAATTAAATTATTGGCAGGAGCGGGACACGCGGGTCGAGCTGCTCCTTATATAAGCGCATTTGAGAGCCTCGCTGCACCCGAACAGCGCAGCAGGTCAATAGATACTAATTAACATCACAAGGGAACCCTGTTCGGGGACGTTTCGGGGCAAACACGCCAAGAGCCCCAGCGCCTGCGCTTGCACCAGGCTAAGGGGCTGGTGGGCAGTGGCCAACGTCCTGTGACTGGTTGCAAGCCCCGGAACGAGGGGAGGTTGAATAAAAGGGGGCAGAGGCGGCCCCCTGCTCAACCAAAGTGTCAGTGAAGCGCTGCAAAGTGCCAGCCCCCTGCCGCAGAAAGCAACAGTTTAGCTGGAAAACCATCCCCTGGGAGCTTCCTGCACGTAGGTCCACAGAATGAATTGCAAGTGGGGCATTTTTCCCAGGAAACGCACCCCGGAGATGAGCATGTAAATCAGCAGAGGGGGGTTTCCTCCTTTCCCTTTGCAAAGCACTTTGTTGAATTTTGCTGAAATTACCAGCTTCTAGCGAGCACGGACTCTGCTTTGAGAAAGAAAACTCAATCTGCCAGACCACAGCAGTTTCCCCATCACTTCTTCCTCTTACAAGCGTGTGCAAAGGCCTCCAGATCTTATTAAGTTACATCCAAGAACATAACAAAACAAACAGAAACACACTGACACTAGTATCAAGCAGAAAAGCCAGGCGACACTGGGTCTGTAGTGGCGGCAGCTGAGTGGGGTGGGAGGGATGAGGCAAAGGAAGGGTGTCCTACCAGCTGTGCACCTCTGGCCGTCTAGTGTACCCCAGAGCCTTTGATTTCAGCCAAGTTTTCGCCTAGATTTCTTCTTGGCTAAATAGGAGACGAAAACATTACAAGCTAGAACAGGTGAAGATAAAGTTGGGCTCAGTTTGGAGATTTTGGTCCTGTCAGATAATGAAACAGTGGAGTTTGTGCACATAGGCAGCCACATCAACCACCAAAGGCAGCTAATGGTCTGCCACGGACATCTCCAACCAGTGTCCTTGCTCCCAACGTGGCGACATGCCAGGCACCCGGCCAGGCTGCAGGAGTTCCCGAGCGCCGGATGGAGTTGGGCCCGGAGCAGCACAGCCTCAAGGCCGTCCTTACGCCGCAGGCAAGCCGGACACAAGGCCCTTATTGAGGAGAGCGGAGCCAAAGTAGCCCGGCTGCAACAGGGAGCCTTCGCTGCGCTCTGCCCGGTGCCTCCGTCTCTCCCTCCACCTCCCGCGGTCATCTCCGAGTCATGGGATTTCTTAGGTCTGTGATCACATTCCTTCTCCCTTCAGCTTCTTGGCAGGTTTATAAAGACCTCTTCTCCTCATGGTCATGCTAGAGCAAAACAAGTAGGACGGACCGGGGTACAACACAGCATCTATTTCTGTACGAGACCCGTCAGGCATTGTTATGGGTCTTACTATTAATATGACTATTTAATTATGTTACTGCATGACCACATATCATGTGGAGGCAGCCAGAATAACTCCACCAGCTTTGCCCAAAGAATTTGGTCCTGCAACATCTCTTGCTTAACTCTTATGGAAAACAATGCTCCGACATTGGTTGCAATTAGAAAGCTACTGCCATAGAGGAAGAGAAAATGTTTGTTTTCCTACTGAGAGCAAGCCCAAACAGTTTCAATTCTTGACTTGGAAAAGCAGTTATTTTCCCAAATTCTGTTCACTGAGTAGTGCCTGAGTATGAAGGAAAAACAGGACAGTCACCTACAGAAAGCTGGAGGCGAGAGCTCCACCAGGAATTAAATCTTTGCACAGCAGCAGAATTCTGCCTTCGCATTTTCAGCATAGAACTGGCTGAACTTGGTCCTGTGCCATTTGCAGAGATTAAAAACATAATGCAAGCATCTGACTGCAGACAGGTAGTAAAATACTTGGCAAAGGCTGTCACCCTCCAAAGCTCGTGGAACTTACCAAGGTAAACAGGAGCTGAACAAACATGAGTTAATCCTGTCTGAATCAACGTGACTTTAAGGCCACTTCAGACACAGGTGTTTAATGGACTGTTTTGTATTGCAACCCAGCAGTAACAGCTAAAAACACAGCAGATTTGGGGCTAAACAGATTGGCAGCAGCTGTGGCTGAATCCTACCTGCAGCCTGGGAGATGTAGCTCAAGAAATGCTCGGAGGGCCAGAGCCACCTGGACCTGGGTGGAGTTTGCCACCAATTTCAGCATTGCTGATTGAGGGGGTCATGCTGGAGAGCAGCAGTTCAGTACAGCCCAGGTGAAATGCTTGTGGACTGGGCCAGGAGCAGAAGTATTTCAAAGGATCAGATCACAAACATGGAAGTCCTTATAAATAGCTCAAATATGCATATAACACAGGACGTCTGTATCTGCTCCTGAGGCAAAAGATGTGCTATTCTTCTTTGTTTTGTTCCCATTGACTGGCCCCAAATAGTTTATAATAACCTCTAAGGTCTTTGATTACTTGAATAACATGGAAGCTCTTCTGAAGATAAATACCCTACCAAATTAACAAGAGATACTATTTTTGTTCTCTCCTTTGTCTTGCATGTAATTTACATGGTGCCCAGGATGACAGCTTAGGTTGGGGACTTGAAGTAGAAGTGTCCATTGGGAGAGTAATGTGGCAGAAGAAGCTGGAGGCTTTGACAGTCACACTCAAAGCCCTGAACACCAGAGAAGATGCAAGAGAAAACTCAGAGCGATTATGAAGCGAGGCCGCTAACTGGATGTTCCTGCTCGCTCACCCGGCAGGGTCGAAAACCAACTATATTTAGGCACGCAGGCGCAGTTCGGCGCCCAGCGGCTCGCTCGCGTCTCCGGCGCTCGCCTCGGGCTGTCTGCAGAGGCAGCTGCCATCGCCCAACTGGTTCCTGCTTCGCCAGAGATGAGGGGGGTCTCTCGGCGAGGAAAAGGGCAGAGTTGATATTGCTGGGAAGAACCACTACTTACTGCCTGTCTGTTAAGGGCTGATGTTGGGGAGATGACATCATGACCCAGGTGACAGCAAAGGTCTCCGCTTGCCTAAGGAAAACCAGAGGGAGGTCCCTGGAAGTCAATTGAGACAAATGGAGAGCAAGGCAAGACTAAAAGCTCCTTTTACAGTGCTTTGAGTCTGGGAAGAGCTGACCATTCTGACCCCAAACAGCAGCCCCTGCCAAGGACCTCCATGCTGCCCAGGGAAGGAGCAGGGTTTTGCTTCTTAATTTACCATGCACCCAAGAGGGAGCATGGTCAGGAGGCAGGGGTGGCAAGAGGCTCAACATCATCCCCGATGCAAACCCTGATTGAACAACTGGGGTTTTAAAGATGCCAAAGCTGAAGGAAAGGCAGGGACTGAGGGCTGGTCCTCTGGCACGCCAGTGCAAACAAAACGCTCCTTGTTCACAGCCCGGCTGGCCAGGCTCCCTCCCCTGGAAAGCCTGTGTGCAACCAACCGTCCAGCACAGCTCTGCAGAGGGGAACGCGCTCCCTTCGGCTCGGGAAAGGGGCAGGAGGCGGCTCCGCGCTGCCCTCGGACACCCCTCGGCAAGGCTTCCTAAGCAGGACACTGCAAGAGGCACCCGCGACGCGCCGCCTCCTCGGGACACCGCTCATCTCGCTCGGCCGTTTGAGATGGCCCGATAAATCAGCTGCTTATCAGCACTTATCAGCCTTCTGCGCACGAGGCTGGCCGCGATCACAAGCAGACATAAGCACTGCTGTTCTCCTCCCGCAGCCATCGAGGCTGCACTGGCTTGGGGCAAGTCGCATGACCCCCCTGTCCAAAGCACGTGAGCCACCAAGCCCTGCCAGCCCTGGGAGCAACGGTGCTGAGGAGGACGGGGGGGCAAAGCCAAGGCGATCACAGCCCCTCTCCAAACTGCTCACTCGCTCTGAGGGTGGGAGCTGCCACTCAGAGGCCTTCCTGCTGGAGGGCAGGGGAGGGAAAGGGGTAAAGGAGTGTCCACGGGAGCCAGGAGAGGCGACAGACTGCATGGATGTCTCCAGACTCGAGCGCAAGCAGCGATGCACCCTGAGCAGCAGGGGAGGTAGAGCTGGTTCTAAGAGAATCTCACTCTTGAGGTCTTCAAGAGTTACAGCAGAAGGGGAACATCCAAGCCCATTCAGAAAATCAGTTACACTTAATTAAAGTAGAGCTTCCTCCTATTAAGCTATTAAGACTCAAAATAGCTTTTTTGTAGCTGTTTCCACTGTTTTCATTCTGGGGTGTGCTCAGGGCTGGAGGCACCTTGGGCCTTGGAGCCCTCCAGTGTCACTTGGCCAACCTGGGTGG